TGTATATTTCTTGTTCTCATGGATTACATTCTGTCGGGCACACTGACGGTCCTCAAATATTATTTTTACCATTGTTTTCCTAGAAAATGTGAATTACTGAATTTATTCGGGGGCTATCATGTTCCATCTGATTGTGAACTGTACTCATCTTTGAGAGAGAGGCACAGCTTCCGGAAGTTGATACTACCAATAGATAATAAACTGTGTGTTAGTCTTGAAATATGAACCACGTATATATTTCAAAAACAGTTTCAGAAGACCCTCTTCTCATGCTGACTTCACACACAGAAACATGAGCAGCTGTTCCTTGCCCATAATTTAGGGAAACTGTGATAGTATAAAAGCTTTCGCTGAGGTAAAGCACTGGTTATTTATATTGGACTGCAAGAACACATTCTGGTTTAAATGCCACCAAAGCTAAAATAGTAATATATTTTATTTGAATATAATTGATAGTAATTTTTTATAGCTAATGTTATTTCTAGAAGGCATACTGCACTGGGTGCTTTTAAAAAAGCAGTTTAGCGTATCTAAATTTACATATGCTCCTCTTCTGTTTACATATGAACTTGAGTGACTTGGCTGAACCTGATACATTTTATGCTACTTGTCATGTTGTTAGCCTGTTGCCTTTAATTTAGATGGAACAGGATCTGGAAGATTTGTGCTTTTTACCAATTAACAATTACTATGCTGATTCTTAAATAAATCTTTTTGTTATTAAGGAATTTTCAGTCATTGTTTTTAGGTGTGAACAAAACATTTGATTAAGTATATGATAGTGATTTGACCTGATTTTTAAAAGTAGTTTCACAGAGTTAAATGGAGCAGAGAATCCAAGAAAATTTTATGGTAATGAATTCCTTTTGGTAAAATAATATTAGCTATTAAGGTTAAATGAATAATAAACTGTTTACTTGGAAATAATTGTTACCACTTAGCTGAACAAAGATAATTGGAAGAAGAGGCAACATGATGAAGTGATTTCAGGTCAAATAAATGATTTTAATTTAGGAAATACTGCTTGGTTGATTCTCACCTTCTTTTTTCCCCCCTTTTTGCTTCAATCATTTAATATTTCCTTTGTGAGTTTTCATTTTGTATTCTCCGGGTTAAGGTGTGTTGTGCTGATCACAGTAATGTGATTTTCGTGGTTTTTGTTTGTTTGGAAAAAATTAAATGTTATAAATGAAAAAATAGAAGTTTTAGCTTTAAAATACCAGAGCAAAAACAATACATTCCAAATCTTACTCAGATATTTCTTTGTATTTTAGATTGTTAGTCCGGTAGCCATCCCATTACTCTTTCAAACACCTGTGGTAGGTCGCTATTCAGTTCTTCTCTCCTCAGATACAACCTGTTCCCGGTTTCTTCCTCAAAGTTACAATGCGTTCCATTTGTAACTGTCCAGAAGTGGATACAGATCTGTAGAAGTTACCTTAACTGAGTGCTATCCATCATTTCTCTGCACTGTCTTTTTTTTTTTTTTCTTGAGCTAGGAATAGTGACCAGGTCAGCTCTCCAGACCCAGATAGCAGAGGGTCACTCTCCTAAGCTTTCCTACTGAAGACCAGAGGACATGCAAGAGGTGCAGAGGTCTTGGCTTGTTTCTGCTGTGACCTGACCCTTGTTGGCGCCTGTATAGGGTAGAGGAGGAGGTAGAAGAAAGGGAGAAGATGAACAATACGCAAGTCTAAGCAGGTGTTTGCTTTAGGGCTCAGATTAATGAGGTGATATTTAACCCACTGTGAAAAATGTCAACAACTGGGATCGATTTTGTGCTCAAGTTCATTTATATATAAAACATATTGTTGAGGTTACCTCTACAAGTGTTAACATCTGTGGGAAGATAGGAAGTGTGGAGGGTTATGTAATAGGGAATCTCAAGTTCAAGCTGTGGTTCCTTCTCTTTGATGACCACGGATAACTGGAGGTAAATGCTGCTTTTACATTGCTGTGACTTAAATCTCTCTACCCCTTACCTTTAATTAGTAACAAGGCCCACTTTTTCATAGCTTCAAAAAGCCAACAAAACCAATTCTATATAATGGTCAAAGCACAAAAGTAAGACCTGTAAAAAACAGACTTCAAAGAGAACTTAGTTCCGCTCCCTCTTTTGCAAACAAGGAAAATTAACTTGCAGAGGAATCATGGGTCCCACAGAAAGTGGGGGCTGGAGGGCAAAGAGCCCAGCACCCCTCCTCCGTCTGGGGGGTGGCCCTTGTTTTCCTCATCACCAGACATCCAGGGCAAGCTGAGACAGATCGCTCCAATTCTGATACCAAGTCTCTGACTAATACAAATACAGAGAACATGCCTTTAGGAAGTTGCTTTCCTATTACATTCTCTTTGAAAAAAAGTGCTTTGGTGCCTTTGTTTGTACCCATCTGCATTTTTGTGGTTCATGATTCCTGCTTAGTCCTCTGGCATTGACCAGAACTATCAGGGCTGTTTACAAACTGATGTTAATAGAACTAGCATTAAACTGAAAAATATCATCATGATACTAATGCCAATAGCTACATTTTTTTTTTTTTTAGTGCATTTAGGTGGGCCAGACACTATCCTGAACTTTTTATGATTTGCTTATTTAGTCCCATTGTGAAGTAGGTGCCATTACTGTCATTGTTGTTTTGTAAGTGAAAAACTTGAGGCTTCCTCTCTACAACGTACCATTTTAAAATGTAAATAACTGTCCAAAATTGTAGAGCTAAGACAGGGAGACTGAGAATTAGTCTTTATCTGATCCGTTTCCCAGCCCTTACCAGCATACAGTTACAGCAACTCCCCGAATTTTACCTTCCCAAGTTGGTTCGCTATTTAGTTTTTTAGAAGTTGGGTACGTTTTCATACTGAAACAATGTTATCACGTTCACTTAATCCATAAAGTAGTCCAAATAGTTTAATTTAGCTATATCACATTAAAAAGCTTTGTCTTGGATCAAAGTATTTATGTCCTTGTTTTTATGAGAAAACTCATTCTCTCTTGCGGACGGAGGTGGTTGAAAGTGGAAATGTTCTTTGGCCTCAGGTTTCCCAAACTAGTCTCAGTCCTGTTACCACAAGGTGAACCCAGCCCTGCTTGTCCCCAGGAACTTTGGTGGCCACTAGTGCTAGGAAGGCCACGTGACTGTGCTTCCCACCGTGCTGAGAACTGTTGGTGCTGAAGGCCGCTCACCTTGAGCTCCTGACTGTAATCCTGGCTCATCATAGACCATGCCATGCCCTAGTGCGCCATTGCCTAATTCAAGCACCTATGTACCTTCTTTAACTACAGGAAACCAAGTGGCTTGGGTGGGTTAGTTAGCACAGACTTCCCCTCCAATGACCTTTCTACCTCACTGAGGGGCCAGCATTGGGATATCAATGCCTAACTCCAAGTTGCTTCTTGTTTATGATTCTTAGTCTGGAAGAACTAGACCTTCTAGAGTGGTTTCTAAATAGTCCAATGGCATTGTTGCCCCTTAGATGGGAGACACGGATTGGGGGAGATGTGTTCAGTGCCCCATCATGATTTACTCAGTCAGGTGGTTCTCAGCAGACAGCAAGTGGCTGTCTATTTTGCAGGTGGCTGGGTTATTTTGCAATGCCCTCTGGAATTTCAAAACTTTATGGAGATATTTTAACACAAATTCATTCACTTTAGAGTTTAAAGTCAGTGCAACCTATTGTATTTCTTTGTGTGGACTATTCCAACATACTTAATAAATTTCACCTTTCTTCTACTTAGGTGGCATTTTCTATAAGCAATTTGAGTGTCAGAAACTGTCTTGGTAACAGAAAGTCCTGTTACAGGAGAGGCAGGTAGAAAGATGGAAAAGCTTATAATATAAAGATAGTGTATTTTCGGCTTTGATAGGGAGCTATCGTTGTAAGCTGTTCTTCAAACTGTGTTTTTCTCCTCTTTCAAAAAGATAATCAAATGTTAATCCTTCACCTTAATTATCCAATTGTTGATGTATTTATAGCTAGTCAAATGAATTTATAAACCATAGTGCAGCATCGTGAGGTCAATGAGCAGTCGGTCATAATTCTGACTCCTCTGTGTTTTGGGGTATGTTTGGAAGTTTGTTTTGGAACTGATTTTCCGTCTCTTGCATAATCAGAATTCTGTAACTGAAATAAGTAGGCCTTAGAATAGGATAAAAGGTGCATTTTTTTTTGTTTTTCTTTTCTGTGTTGCTGCTACAGCACCTGCCGGGTGCATGCCAACAATGCATGGATCTCATGAATACAGTTGAGTTTCCTCACCCCTCAGAGAGGCTGTATAATTCAGTCCCATAAATGTGTCTGCGGGAAGGGCCTACTATGCATGAGCCGTGCTGGGAGATGTCCAGTAAATATCTGAGGAGTTGCAAATCACTGCAGTGAAATAGCATCACCTGCCCTGCTACACAGCATCCCTGACAATAAGTTTCAAGGGATGGGCCGTGGAAACAACTGAGCTTTTCAGCTGATCACAATCAAATCAGGACACATCAAAACAGCTGGTGTTCTATGACTCAGAACCCATCAGCCGGCGCTGAATCACCTCATACTTCTTTCTTTCTCTCTGCAGTTTCACAGAAGAGATTTAAACCAACACATGTCATTCCCATTCGCTCAAATCCCTGCTTTGAGCTGCTTTGCTTTCATAGTCTAATACCAATGCATGAGACTGCCTGCGATATAAAAAATTACATAAGTAAAGGCTAGCATTAAGATGATTTTTTTAACTGCTGTTGCTCCATTTGTGTTCAATAAACCATATGCTCAAATAGAATGCCCTCGAAGAAGCATTTTCAGGTTGCCTTATCGAATGAGAATCATTTTGCATCAGAAGGATTTAGTCAACTCACATATAGGGCAACAGCAATTGCCAATTTCCATCTAAGTTCATAATTTTGATTTTAATGCTTCTACAAATAGTGATACCTCGGGAAAATCAGCGTGAAGTTAGTAAATGAAAGTTCCAAGGTGTGCGTCTCGGTTTCTGACACCATTCATCTTTGTCTCTATAGGAACCCCGTACACCATTCTTTGGCGAAGGCTGCTCAGCCGCGGTGACCTCCTCCAGTGGAACCCTCTACAAATTATTATCTCTGGACTCCCAGCGGACACCCTGCCGGAGGCAAGAGCTGCCAGGCCAACTGGAACTGTGCCTTTTCTGTTGTCAAGGTTTTCTACTTACACAGGAAAAAGAAAGAAAAAAAAAAGATGAAGTTGGGCAAAGTGGAGTTCTGCCACTTCCTGCCACTCGTCGCTCTCTTCCTGTGCTTTTCTGGGATGAGTCAGGCAGAACTGCCGCGGTCCAGATCGAAGCCCTATTTCCCGTCGGGGAGGCCACGGACCAAGCGCAGCTGGGTGTGGAACCAGTTCTTCGTGCTGGAGGAATACATGGGCTCAGACCCCCTCTACGTGGGAAAGGTAGGGCGTGCGGCCTTTCGAAGTGACAAACGATTGTTGGGAATGTCTGTCTGTGGTTGGATGGAGAAGTGCTCATTTTGGCTTTGGGGATGGAAAACACGCAGCTGTCACCCCTGTGAACTAGTATCTGAAGTTGCTGGCCTTGGTTAGCCTCTCTGAAAGTGTAAGACAAGGGTTACTCCTACAGTGAAGCCGTACCCTAGGGAGCCACGCTTCACTCCTGGAAACAGGTGGGGATTCTACAGATGCCTCCTTCTCCTTGATTGTGCCCCGCCCCACGGCTGGGCATTTCTAAAATTAGAGCAGGAATATTCACTAATAAATGAGGAGTGGTGGGTTTTTATAGCCAGTTGACTTATTTTTAGCTTCTTTTTGAATGGTACTGTGTAAATGATGCCTATACTAACTTTACGCTTCTATAGCCCTCCCTGATACTTGCAGTTTAGAAGCTGCAGAGTGAGATTACTGAGCCTATTGTCTTTAAGTTATGGGTGATTCAAACCCACTTATCCTGGCAGTGGTCTAGTTTGGATGGATTTTTTTATAATTTGCTTTTCAAAATGGCCTTTTGGTTAAAAGCGGATGTGAACAGAAGTCAGAAGCAATGTTAGACCAGTGGTGGGCTATTTGTGGTGCATTTGTTGGGTGGCCAAGGAGCCCCCACATTGAGCTCGCTTTCTTGCGGCTGTCTTCTGTCGGGCTCTTTGGGCGGGATTTTCGTTTGAGCACCTCTTGAACTGAAGGGCACATAGCAGTGTGTGATCGTTCCCCTAGCGTGCTCGTTCGATAGCTCCAGTCCCTAGTGTGTTGCAGGTTGGATATTCTCATATTTGCCAAGGTTTCCTACATTTCTCAGTCTGGTGATGAGCGCTGGTGGATGTTTTCTAAATAGAGTGCACTTGACAGGAAGTCGATACATCTGTGTTTTTACTTTTCACGTTGTCAGTTTATGTGTCTGTTCCTGAAAAAGCTGATGAATTTACCTGTAAGTAAATTTTCAACTTTGAATGATGGAGACGGGACCTTTGCTGTTTGTTTATTTCATGGATTATGTTTTCACTTGAACATACCTTAAGTAAGGATGGAAAATCTGTTTTTATTGATGAGTGTTTACGTAAGTCAAGGTAATCTGTATTATACTTACTGGTTTCAATGAATGCCTCTATATTTTTACAAATAATGACAGATATTTATTGTAAAAGGAAGAATTTGAGTAAGTTCAAGTTTTCTAGGGAGGTGGATTAGGATTTTTTTTTTACCCCAGACATAGCATGTATATGCAGAAGAAAAGATATGTGAGTACACACATGTTTTTGCGCATATCTATTTTTCATAGCCATTTTACTTTTTAAATAGTACTATCTTATATAATGCACATGTGCTCAATTTCTCATTTTCTTATTCGTTTTCTTGTAAACAAGGTGAGCGTAATCACCATTATGCATTGTAATTGACTAAGAATCAAGCTCTTAATTTCATTCATATTTAATGAACACTTAACAGTTCATCAAACTTTTTTCCCATGGACAGGTTTATGACATTCAGCTGATTCAGAAATAATTAGTAGTTATTGGTGAAATCATACTTTTGTAAGAATGCAAAAATTTTCTAACGACAACTAAACTGTTTTTATTAATTTGGTTTTAAATGGGGTTGCCTGAGTGAGATTGACATTTTGAAGTAAATATAACTTAAAAAAATTTTAAAAATCCTTCTTTTAAATTTTGCAGTTTTCACATAATGATTGAGTATTTGTATCCAAATAATCCCTATAAGTCAATTTAAAATTATGAAAATGGATGCTACCTAAGGTTACTTATATTTCAAATGCATATGAAGCTACTGGGCAATGTTGTTATTGTTTTTTCTAAGAAATTGTGGGGTTCCTTGATCAGCACAAGAAATATTCTGTGCTTCCCTTTTAATTAATTGGAGATAGTCACTTGGCAGATGGTATGCAACAGGAAACAAGTTTATATTTATGTCCTGTGTGGTATATATGGGGAGTTTCATACAGATGCTCACAGTACAATGCTCAGGATGCAAATGGGTAAAAAAAAAAAACAAAAACAAAAAAACTCTTAAATGACCAAAATATTTTTAAAAGGCCATAAAATGATTTGGGATGGACAGATAATTTACAGACAAGAGAGATACATGAAAGGCCTTAAAGGATCAGTTTGTAGTTGCCTGGGGACAGGTGACAGAGAACTGGAGTGCTTTGGACCGTACGTACGAGATGACAAAGTGATACTTTTTAGATCCGTAGTGTGAATGACCAGAGGAATGAGAACAACTTTGACCTTGATACATTCCCTTGGGTATGTAGAATAGATATATTTTTCTCTTTTTCTAAGTTGAGGGAGTTAATGGCCGTGACCAGAAGTTTCTATAGAATAGACAGAACTAAAAATTAGAGATGAAAATGTGGATGAACGGATAAACAGGTCATCGTGAGAAAAAAAGAAGGGAGCTAGTCATTACTTTTCATAGCTATGTATTTAATCTGTACTGGTTAGATGGCCATGTTCAGTCTTTCTGACAAAGTGTGGCTACTTAGGTAGTTTGGAAAATATAAATGATGACGTTGATAAACTTGATAGCTTAATTTGATCACGTAGTGGATAAGTACAGTGTGTGTCAAATTGTCTTCAGTTTTATTGCTGAATCTGCCACTTCCTACTAGTTGCATAACTTTGAGTAAGTGCTTCCTCATCTCTAAAATGGGAATGGTGATATCTACAATTCAAGACTCATACTGGGAGTGAGATAAAAATATTGGGAACATACATTCAATTAATTTTGACATTCTATTTATCTATTTTACTGCATGCTAATTAACTGACTTATGGATAATCTATTGTGTATGTCTCAAATGTTACATTTATGATCCTTCAGACAAAAGCAGGCATTATTTTATGAACTAAGTAGTATTTAAAGGTACTCCAGTTAATTAGAGGAATGATCTGTGTTGTATATGCTTAGAAATATATCATGTCTTTATATTTGTATATGATTAGACTCTGGCCAAACATAGTTAGTGGATAAATGAGTCAATGCTTAAACACAGGGATTTCAAATGTCGGAGAAATCATGTGTGTGTATATATTTATTTGGACCTTTGAATTTGGAGTCCATGGCAATGGCTGGTGGCCAATGAAATAATTAAAAGTTGGTTATTAAGACATTGAAGATAATAAAGTCATGAGATGACTTGTGACGTTATTATTTTAGCCAATGTACTGGGTTTATTTAACATAACCCAAGACCTAAGTAGAGCAGTTTGTTGAAGGGACAAGGAGTGCTCTTAGAACCTTCTCCAGGAGACCCCTGAGGCGTGGACTTGTGGGCTGGGTTAGACTCTGACCTTTACCATTAGCATCCCACCATTTTCCTGTGATATAAGTTGATAAACTGCTGACTCCAAAGGGTTTTTTTATTTCTTTTTTGTAAATATTTTATTATCTTTAGAGAGGGAAGGGGGGTGCAAAGAGAAGGAGGGAAACATCAATGTGCGGTTGCCTCTTGCATGCCCTCTACTGGGGACTGGGCCCACAACCCAGGCACGTGACCTGACCGGAATTCGAACCCACAGCCCTTTGGTTCTCAGGCCGACACTTAACCCCCTGAGCCACACCAGCCAGGACCAAAGGTATTGACTTAAGAAAAGAGTTATTATCTAATGGAGTTTTTTTTTTTATTGAGGTATAATTGACATCTCACATTATATTAGTTTTATGTGTATAACATAATGATTTAATATTTGTGTATATTGCATAGTGATCACTACAACAAGTCTAGTTAGCATCTATCACCATACCTAGTTACAGATTTTTTTTCTTGTGATAAAAACTTTTAAGATCTACTCTCTTAGCAACTTTCAAATATGCAACATAGCATTATTAAATATACTCATCATGCTGTATGAACTTCTATTTTAAAGAATAGAAGCGTGCTTTTCCCTAAGAGTGTTTCTTAATTACCATCATGCCCATTTCCTGGTACTTTTACAGGGGGAGGGGAGCAGAGTCCTTTCTTGTCTGCCCGCGAGTCTGTCAGCCTGAACGGGCTGTTGGTACTTCGGATCTGCTCGTTCACAGCAATCTCGCTGAACAGCACTACACTTTCCTAAGTCCGGTCTTTTCCTCACCTTGACATTTCTCACTTAACGTCCCCCAGCCAACTGACACAAAAATTTGTCTACAAAGCCACCCGGCCTCTGGTGCAGGTATTAAGAGTTTTTCATCGCTTCTAGCCATAATGGGCTGCCAGGCAAGCGCTGCGCTGCGGGCCATTACTTTCCCTGAAATGCCTGCTCCGTGCCTCGTCCACAGTCTGCTCCTCCAGCTATTAACATCACTCTTGTCCTTCCTGCTACTCCCCTTTCTTCCCTGCTCGTTCAGGGAGAATTTATTCCATTACCCCAGTCAAAACCAAACGCATAGAAATTCCGCGTGGGATTCTCTCGGCTTTCGTGGTGTCAGCTTGCACGCCAAGTGTCGGTGAGCGCTGCCGATGGTTTGTGCCTCCACAGGATCTCTCATCAAGAGAGTCTCTGTCTCCTGATGCCTAGGGTCAGGTTTGGGGTTCCAGAAAAGAAATGTTCATCTTGAAAATAGGTCATGTGAAAAAATGGAGGTGGAAACGAGATTCCATGACTGGGCAGATTTATATTCGATGAACAAAAAGAAACTAACGAGTCCCACATATTTATTACCCAGTAAAGAGAGTATGCATCATGGTTAAACTTACATTTTATAGATTTTGGACGGAAAAAGCTATATATATTTGGAGTGTCCTCTCAATATATAGATTACCTGGAGTTGGTTCTATCTTAGAAGAAAGCAAAGGCAGTATGTTTTCCCCTGGATGCATAGAAAACCCATTTTCATAATATCCTTACAACCGGAGTGAATTGTGGAGACCTTTGTTCTGATCTTGTTACTTTGTGACAGAAATGTGAAACTCCTGGTGGCTTCAAAGGGAATTTGGGCATGGAT